AAGTAAATTCTCAAACTAAATCACATGTGAGAATCAATATAGTTATAATAAATCAAAAGTGGTCCCAAAGGTGTAAGTTAGCAGCTCATGTTTGGCAGGAGCATTTTAGCTGTTGTGCTGATGATAAGAGTTATATCTTGACATCCTCCCTCAAGCTGGAATTATCATCCAACTCCCAGCTTGTCTTTGAGAAAAATAAATCTGGATTGGGAGAGAGACTTGGTTAGCAAATCTGCCACTTGATCAGAAGATGGAACATATTGTATCTTTAGCTTTCCTTCAAGCACTTTATCTCTTACAAAGTGTATATCTAACTCGATATGTTTCGTGCGTGCATGGCAGACTGGATTAGAAGCTAACGCGCTTGCACTAAGGTTGTCACACCACAATGTAGGAGGACAAGTAGGATGCAACTTGATCTCTTTGAGTAATGATTCAATCCATGTAATTTCAGCAGTTACTTGTGCTAAAGCTCGATATTCTGACTCTGTGTTGGACCTAGCAACAACTTGTTTCTTTGAAGACCATGCTACCAAGGAGTCTCCCAAATAAACACAATAACCTGCCGTTGATCGCCTGTTATCAAGGCAGGAGGCCCAGTCAGCATCAGCAAAACCAGTAATTTCAATGTTGTCACTTCTTTGAATCCAAATTCCTTGTTCAATTGTTCCCTTCAAGTATCTGAACACTCTTTTAACTGCCTTCCAGTGTACATCTGAGGGTGCTTGTAAAAATTGGCTCAGTTTATTCACCGCAAACATTATGTCAGGTCGTGTATGCACCAGATATTGTAAGCCACCTATTGCACTATTGATTTGTCATAACTATATTGATTCTCACGTGTGATTTAGTTTGAGAATTTACTTGTGCACTACTCCAAACGTACTCTATATATTTTGTAAATTACTCATTGCATTGTATTGAATTAATTCATTCACTTGAAGATACAATTACAATCAATTCATCAGAATTCCTTCTTCTTATACTTTGCCGTTTTTAACTTGGTATCAGAGCATCAGAATGGCTAACACCGAATCAAATGAGCAGTCAGCACAACAAGCTTCAAGTACCCTAGTACCTTCATTGTTGGGAGGAAATCAGATGCCACAATTTGGAATTAGTCTCACCCAAGTCCCACCTGTTAAGCTTGACAGGAACAACTTATTGTTGTGGAAAAATATGGTTATGCCCATCATTAAGGGCCATAACCTCGAAGGATTCATCACAGGATCAAAATCGTGTCCAGCAGAATTCCTTGCAACACAGACGAATGGATCTACTGGTGTAACTGTTGAAATGTCACCTGAAATCGCTATGAGAGTAATGGGATCTTCAACCTCTTGTCATCTCTGGAATGCTGTCCAAGAGAGTTTTGAACAAGTCAAGAGTAACTTTCCTCATTAGTAAACTTCAAAGAACAAGGAAATAATCAATGAGTATTGACCAATATCTCAATACAATTAAACAACTAGCAGACAACTTAGAGATTACTGGAAAAAGAATCTCTCAATCTGATCTTGTTACCCAAGTGCTGGCCGGACTTGATGAGGAATACACTCCCATCGTGGTTCAAATTAATAGTAGAGAATCTATCTCTTGGTACGAGCTTCAATCTGTACTGATGACCTATGAAAGCAGAATTGAACATCTGAACACTATCAAAAACAATATGGCCTCAATCAACTTGAGGCATACCTCAGCTAACTATGTTCACATATCAGTTCCAAACAGAGGTGGTAGGTTTAACTATGGTGGAAGAAGCAATTATAACAGAGGAGGAAGTAGTAGAGGCAGATTTATGAGGAGATCTGAAAATAAAAACCCATGTCAAATCTGTGGTATGAGCAACCATTCAGCAGAAAAATGCTTCAATCGCTACGATGAGAGGTACATGGGAACTAAGCCTATCTCAGTACCAGCTGCACTTGTTGCTACTTCAAATACTATAACAAATCCAGCCTAGTTTGCTGATTCTGGAGCAAGCCATCATGTCACTGCTGAGGAAGGAAACCTAGCTGAAGCACATAAGTATGGTGGTAAAGAAACACTCACAGTTGGTAATGGAAACAAACTCCTCATTTCTCACGTTGGCACTAATCACTTGAACACCTTAAATAACAAGCCCTTATTTCTGAATAATGTATTACTTGTGCCTTCAGTTAAGAAAAATCTGCTGAGTGTATCACAGTTAACATCTGATAATGATGTGTTTATGAAAATTTTCATCATGATTTTTGTGTTGTCAATGATTTACAAATGAAGGAGGTACTGCTGGAAGGGAAGCGTAAGGACGGATTGTATCAACTTGAGCATCCAGATCAAGTTAAGAGGTCTTCCTATCATCAATCTGCTTATCCAAATAGTCACCAGTCTGCCTATTCAAATAAGTTGAATCCCTCAACCTTTGTTGTTTCCAAAAACTCTAGAGTACTGGACAGTTTGAGTCTTCTCTTAAACTATGGCACATGAGAATTGGACGCCCCTCACACTCTGTAATGTCACAAGTACTCAAACAATGTAATGAAAAAATCAATTTTAATGAAGTCAATCATTTGTGTGATGCTTGCCAACTTAGAAAATCACATGTGAGAATCAATATAGTTATAACAAATCAAAAGTGGTCCCAAAGGTATAAGTTAGCAGCTCATTTTTGGCAGGAGCATTTTAGCTGTTGTGCTGATGATAAGAGTTATATCTTGACAAGCAACTATCACTTAGGAAAACCTTGCAAGGGGATTTCCTCTTGGCTTGAAGTGTCTGTATCTTTTGGTACCTCCAAGAAACAGGAGAAGAGCTACGAAGGCTGATCCAATAGAAGCCCAAAATCCAAGAACCCATATTCCTTCATCCTCAAAATAACCTAAAATGGTGATGGAGAAGAGTTCACCAAGGTTCAAAGCCAGGTAAAAATAGCTGAAGAAGGAAACTTTGGAATGTCCCTCTTTCACATCCTCTTCATCGAATTGATCAGCTCCAAATGTAGCAATATTAGCTCCATTTCCAAGAGCAATTATGTATATAGGGACGTAAAAGAGACTTACGTCCCAACTTGATTGGTTCCATGAAGTTTTTTCATCCCCACAAGCTCTAGGTTTTAGCAAAAAGAGCTGTGTTGCTACTG